ATGAATTTTAATTTTGAATCATTATACGGGCAAAACTATACTAACTAAGTAGAGGGATACTTTCTGGTTAGGCCAAAAATCGACCGAATCAAGAACCCAATTGGTTGGTACATTTATAAAATTATAGAATGATCAAAATAAATACAAGAAAACGGTAGTTAGGTTAGATTAGGTCTCAGGGCGGATCCCTATTTAGACAGTTAAAATTCCGGTCGTTTGGGCTACAGAAAACTCCCAGGTATATATCAAGATACCCTAATGTAGCAATGTTGCACTCTACAATTCTGTAAATTCACCCAGTTCACCGAAGGTACGATATCCATGATGTTTAAACCTTAGTCAAACGAAAGTCTAAAGAAACGAGAAAATGTTGAAATGTTTTTAATTCCCTACCTTTCCAACACTTTAATAATAGGCTTAATGTACGCCTCGCCCGTTTAGTCTCACCACATGTGCTGGACAGTGTAAATTTAAAAGCTTATCGACTGGAGCTTAGTGAATATTGCTGAGCCAGACCTTTGACTTCTGCGAAGCCCAGCACTATACTTTTAGAGCGCAAGATGGCAACGCAGCTCTAAATCACTACTAGTCTTATGATATTCTTTGCTTGGCCGATTCAGCTATGACTGGTAAATATACAAACCTTATTACAACATATTGTGTTCCAATTGAATATGGGGCTAAATATTCCTTAAGAGCACATCTAGTGCATTCAAGGCCTGTATTCGTGTTCTTCAGTCAGAGAGAATGCTCACCTGGCTGAAGGACGCTGTATTCCGGAGCATTATACTGACTGCTTCATCTATATGTGCTCAAAAGACGGTGTTGTTGTCTCAAGGTCGTCAATTTGAGTTTTCTATATCAACTTAACAAAAACGACTCCTCCCATACCATGCCTTTGAAATTCGCAGGTTTCGGGCTACTCTTTCACGCCGACGTAAATATTCGACAATTTGTTTTTGGTTATTGTTGTTATTTACGATATTGTTGTTCGGTCACCTCTCACCACCACCATCTATCCATCTCCCGGATATGCGTCGGCTTTCTTTAAATATGCAATGTGTTCAATGACAGTGTGTAGTACTATTTCGAAGCTATAAATCTGCTCTGCGTAAAAATACTGTTTTATTCTAGACGACCCCTCCTAATGTATTTGTCTATGATGACTGCAAAGAAACCTTGTGTACTTTAGACAGGTTGTGAGATGTAACGCCGCCTACATCTATGCTTTTTCCAACGCTTGCATGAGGATTCTGCCTACACCCAAAGGGTCTATATAAAAGAAAATGTGGGTGTTTAGACAGGATGTCCGGATAGAAACCCAATGAGAATTCCGTGGCGCTATATTTTTGAAATATTTTTCTTTCCTTCGTAATCAAATTGGTTCGTGCTCTCTCCTCTATAATCACAACCCCGAATTTAAATGACTTAGAAGACAAAATTTTCATCAATTTTTTCTTTTTGGCGTGAGGAACATCTTTATTAAATTCCGATAACCTTAAACGATAGAGCATAAGAGTACACACTAACCTACGAAGCTTGCATCATGCGGACCTTTGATATACTGTTGCATAGAACCATTTACTTGCATATGAAAATCAATTTAAAGTTGCCCAACTTCCCTCTGCTTTGCAGCGTTACTTTTTAATATGTTCCGCAGCCATTCTGAGTTTTCCTCAGAAATTTCCAGTCTTACTACCAGCAAACGCCAAAATGCCAAGGCTGCAGTTGCAAGCCATTAATTTCGGTACACGATAGTAGACAATTTTTAATTTTCCGTTAGAGTACTCTTTGAGCGAAATTAAAATTTTGTATTCAAAAGATAAATAAATAAATTTAATACTTCATAATTATTTTCTCTTATATGCTTTGTGGTTAAATTAACTGTAGCTGGGCAATTACTTAACCATAGCTTTAAATCTCATTAGCGTTAAGTGCGCATGTAACAAACGCACGAATTATTAAAAAAGTAAATACATGGATCATGGTCTCCTGCCTTTGCCTTTCCTCCCATATATGCCTTTTATTTTGGATTTTGTCATTTTTCGAAGCCTTTCTTTATACCCACGGTCTTCTTAATTTTAAAGCTCAAGAATAACCCTACAACAGACTGCTGATTGGTCCACCAATACACTTAAATTTGTTATGTCAGTACTGACGGTTTATTTACCCGGCAATTGACCGTCACTACTATTGCTAAAAAGAGACACTTACGATTTATATTGCATACTATTTTACATATGTAAGAATGAAATAGCTGCATTCTTTAGTACTGTCACCACTGACAGTCAAATGAACAGTAAAATAAGTGTAAATGTTTACGATTTTTCCATAAGCAAATTCTCGTCGAAAAGAAACAGCATACATTTCCATAGAAGTTTCGAGCAGTTGTGAAATACCTCTGTTATTCCGGGCGATAAACCAAAAGTGTTGCGCACTCCTGTGAAATAACTCTTTTTGTGCAAATAATAAATAAATAACGAAGGAGTTCAAATATAATACACGAAAATTATTATTAAGTTTCAAATAAAATTATATTTTTAGTTAATTTTTACTTTTATTTAGGCATTTTTAAATTCCGAAATATCCATGATCTGAAAACACGTACAGCAGAGCTTTTGAGAGGAGCAATTTATTTTATTATATAATTATATTTTTGTTGTACTCCTTTTTATATTTATGTACTCGTATATTATTATAACTAATTTTAATAAGAAATTTTTAATCTATTATAGAAATAAAAATTGTATTATGTACTGCTCAAAAGAAACTTTCCCTTGTGATAGATTTACAGTCATAACTGACAAATTGCCGCTATGATGGCTTTAATGGTCAGCAATGACTCAGAAAAAGACATGAGAGTGAGCAGAATAGATGTATGGTGAATCAATTCCAAATACACATAAGTTAAGGAGAGATGAAAACTCACACACATACGTTTGTTTACATCAGTTTTTGCACAAGGCATTCAAGAAAATGATAGAAACTTTGTTCTGCGCGCTGACAAAATGTTTTACGTTGTTACTGTCATATTTCCGGTCAGCTGACTGTCACTGTTATTGTAGGGAAGTGCATACATACTCGCATAAGTAATTAGCGGCGTTGAAGTAGCAGCAAGAGCATTTAATTATTTCTCCGCTGGCTTATTGCCATTTCATTTAGCTGCTTTCGTTGCCGCCTCTTATTTCTGCCTACGAAAGAGTTGACATGAAACCATCAATAATGCTTTACTAATAACAGCGCACATATATACACAAGTACATAAGTATGTTTACATTAACTGGCGCTTTCAGATGTAATTGTAAACTGTGGCCTATACCTTCACCACCACAAGGCCACTTTGCAGGTGTCAGTGGCGTTGTCTGTTGTTTTCTTTTTATGAAAGTGTTGCGGTCCCTCAGTGTTATTTAATATAATATATTTTGTGGCTGGCAATTTTCCTTACTTTATTGCACGCTTTCTCTCGCGTCGTATTTCCATAATTACCAAAGTACTCGTACATATCTATAATGAGAGTGAAAGAACTATTGCTAAAGTACTCTGACATATGAAATATTGTTAATTATGAAATTTATACACAGGTACAGGTTTTGAAACAATGACAGAACGGGTCCGAATTCAAGTTTCGAATGAAGCTCCTATTAAGTAAAAAACAAGAAAAAACGTTATCTTTGTTTGCATCGAGAACTCCAAGGACTTTATTTTGATCGGTCAGTTTGTATGGCAGCTCAATGCTATAGTGACTCCATCCAAACGATTTCGGCAGAGAAGTGTACTGGTGCCTTGGAGAGGATTTTTTCTAAATTTCAATAAACAATATAAGAGATTTGCCTATATTTTCTGCAAAATATCAGTTACAGGCACTGTTTTCCACTTATGTTATTCAGTAGGCTTATAAAGGTTTTAGCTTTTTTTGGACTTTATTTATATGCTGTAAAGTGAGAGAATCATATGGAGTTTTTTATATGATGTTTGAAAAGTAAGCGTGGTTTTTGTCCGATCCATTTTTCAACTGTAACATTACAAATAATTAACCAATCAAATTTCGTTGAAATAGGTTGAGTAGTTTCTGAGATATAGGATTTCCCTTGTACATAGATCGAAGGCAACGCCTATTGTCCAATTTTTACATCGCTTCTAATGACACCCTTAAGTGTTTTATGCTTTTGACGTCTTTATTTAGCTTTTTGGTTATCTCACTTTTAACTGTTTTCAACATAACAGTTATATGGGGAGAGGGTGTGGTTATCTTCTGATTTTCCTCATTTTCCCATCGTTTGTGGAGGTGTCAAAATAATTATTTTTTTAGCAAGGGCCTTTTGAAAATTTTCAGATCACAGTTGCCTCTCACTACGATGGTTCCCTGTACTAAAGTAGTGTGTCGGATATTATTATTAATTCGGATCTTAGTTATACCACTTTATAAGTTTTCGATTCCACCCATCTACAATACCAACATCTCTTGGGTGCGGAGGAATTCATATTTATGTATATATAACTATATACCATATCGATTAGTTCTAGGTATTACAAATAATCGTGAGGTGAAAAAAAGGATTATATTCTGTAGCAACATGCTGCGAAACAAATCACCTAGGCTTGGGTGCTATGGAAAAGATAAATTACGAGTTGAGCTACACTAAGTATGTATGACAGTTCTGCCAAATTCGGAAAATTATCCGGGAGCTTGTAACGCTTGTGGTACAGAACAAAACTTGGAAACTTATACCTCGTATTATTTGAGTTACAGTAGGGATCGCATGTAATAGGTTTCGTTGTCGTCTCTTTAGATACAAGCTTATTTTAGCTTTATTAGGCTTGGATTTTATTGGAATCTCCATGAGTCGGATAACGGTGAATGGTAGAAAACGATCGGTCCAGCACACAGCATAATGTAATAAGGAAGCACACCGAGGCATATTACTTACTTGTTGCTTACTTATTTTCTTAAGCGGTAACTACAGCTCACACAAAATACCCATTTCGTTTGTATAATATGTAGCGCTGACATAGAGGCAAACATTCGTTGAGAAAATACTTGAAAATTATAATAAAATTTACAATAGCTATTTGAACTATATATCTTTCATCGCAACACACTTTATTCCTTTTATTTTCACATTAGGTATACACCTAGGAAACGTCGGGAAGTTTTGACATTTAAATAGAAATTTCAAGTTTAAAATATAAATAGTTCTTTAAAAAAAATGTATGTAAATAATAAAACTAAGAAGTAAAACATCCACGTTGCGGAAAGTCGCGATGGACGCTGAGGAGGTAAACTCAATTTCCAGGTTTGTTTCACAAACCTCTCCTATGATGTTCCGTAGCTCGACAAGCTTCACCATTCAACACAGCGTAAATATGCATGACATAACAGCAGCACTCAAGGTGCACAAAGCAAAGCGGAAGCAGATCACCTTACCTCGTAAAAAAATATATATCGAACGAGAGAAGCTACGTCAAATGGAGATTTCAGCACCAATGCCGAGCTCAGCGTTCCAAGACCCCTACCTCTCCCAGACAAATGAAATGCGAGTCAAAACGAACTTCGGTCGTCTAAAGGCAAACTCACCGAAGCGTAAAACCAACAAAGCGGTATTACTCCCAAACCAAGTGACGTTGGCCAGGGCACAACAGCAAAAAGCCCCTCTAGCGGTGAAAGTTTTCGAAGAATGTGTGTTGCCACAACTAAAGGAAAACTTACCGCAATCAAAGTCTCCCATTGACAGTGTACTTAGCTTTAAGTTGCAAGCAAGCGTGGACGGCGTTCAGTGTGCTTACTCCAATATTTACGAAATACCACCCGCGGCTCAGACTTGGCGGCGTGGCGATTGTTTCAAGGACCGCAGCGAAGAAGGCTTGTTGAACGACATCATGTATGAGATAATTGTCGTAATGCTTCAACCACTTATAGTCGTATCCTTTCATCGCCAGACAACAGCAAACATATAGAGTAACAAACGCAGTCGATGGATGATGGTGTCGGGGTTAAAATCGCTTGAGTAATGAAACTGCGAAATGCAAGTAAATATTTGCATACAAAATGAACATACATAATTACCATTGCATGCATACCTATACTTACGAATAATTCGAGAAATACCAAACACCTATTTGTGCATGAGTATTTATTTATTTCTGGTCACTCGATACTCCTTCATCTGCATAAAATTTCGCTTCCGTAGCTCATATGTACGCAAGCTCTTTAATATGGACATTTTACGACTTGCATGAGTGAATTGGAATTTCATCAAAGAAATATGTCGAGCGCTGTAGGCAAATTATGGTAAACTTGATCATACACAATGAACAGTCAGTCAGTCAGTCATTTGTTTTCATCATGAAATTTGTGGCATGCAATAAAAGTAAAAGAAGACGAATGACCAGTTACTCAAGTGTTTGTGGAAAATTGCATTGACAGATGTGGCATAAAGAATTCCACAAATATTTTAAAGTGTACCACCAATATTTAAAAAATGCTAATGTTCACACACATGTATGCATTTATAGGTATATGGTATATATCTATCCTGCAGGGAAATCTCAAACCGATTTAGGAAAATACAAGTTTGAAACAAAAAATTGTTCATTGAAATCAAATTAGTTAGCAAAGCATGAAGCTAATAAGAGTTAGTTAGGAAGTTGCTTTGGAAAGTGAACGGTGTATCAATATTGTTTCAATAAAAATACAAAGAACCTAAACAAACAAAGAGTAAAACGGTTAATGCAAATATATGATGAGGAGAAGATTTTGAAAAAAATTAGGATTTTTACTTAATTGCCTATAAGGAGATAAAAATGCATATATGATTCGATGTTCATTAGAATATCAGTAGAATTTGATCTTTGTAATATTTGATTGATAAGCCAATTCATGCAGTTCTGTTGCCGTTTTCTTTGATTTATCACATGAACACAAAGATGTCATGTAGCCAAATTTTCATGGGTATAACAGATACTTCGATTAACTACACTTTGAGACCGTCCAAAATTATTTTGTGGATATTTTTCATATTCTCGACCATAATAGCACTCTCTATACTTCACTATGTGCTTTTTCTGGCACTAGGCAACGATAATACTCATCAAGCCTCTTTTTGTAATCAGCAATACTTTTTTTCAACAAACAAAATTACGAACCAATTGCCGGACACATGTGAAATTTAAACGCATGATTTTTGAAGGTTAGGTTTAACTTCAAAATGTGTGCAGATGTTACTACCGAGTATAATAGTTTTGTTTACCTAACGGTGAAACCTAACCTAACACCTAAAACCAATCGAGATAGATATAGAGTTATTTATATAATATATAATTATTAGGATGTCGAGTTGAATTTCGGATGACTGTCTGTCCGCCCTTCCGCCCAGGCAAGCAATATTTTGAATATAAATTGAGATATCGTGATGAAACTTTGTAAACGTTTTCCATGGTACCCAAGGGGAGTTGGTATCGCAGACGGGCAGAATAGGAGGTTTGCCACGCCCATAAAATCCCGTTAATCGCAAACTCATAACGTATTATGACCAAGCCCCAAATTAGGACATATTTGATAAAGGGTGGTGAGGGCATCTGTGAGCTGCAAAAATTTTCAATTTATGTACATGTCTCACTAACCAAACGTGTCAAGAGATGCGATGTCAAAAGTGGGCGTCGCACCGCCACCTTTAGGTGAAATCGTATACCTCAGTAACTGCTGAATCAATTTCATCTAAACTTATTGTGTTGTATTATATTTTAATCTTTATATTACAGTATGATGAGCTTTCATACCCGACAATAATCCAAACCAATGGGCACGGTTCGCGTAACACCCTGCTTTAAGAGGAGTGGCAGTGCTTAGTTACTGCCCGCTCAGCAGGTCATTCCAATCAGATCAAAAGTTGGCAGTCTAGGTTTACACTTCGTATCTAAACTTAACATTTCTGGATAATGCTGATGAGTAAACAGTTAAGCCTCCACACCAACGACAAGGTGACCACCATCGAGGTACCCTCATATACCTAATAGAAAGTTTTTCGAATTTCCGGTTTGTATATGGCTACGTGTGCATGGGTGTTGCTGCCGTTAAACTTGCTCAACCATTACCGTTAATATCTTAATAATAAAAACTTATTTACAAAGCCTGTTGAACCTTGACTTCATATCTTTAATTTGTTTTACTTTCGCTGGCAGTATTTAACAAATGCAACAACAAATTCACTAGCAGCTGCACATACTTGTACATACGCATTTGTGCAAGTATAAATCTCAAAATTAGCGGAGTTGCTTGTTGTTGATATTGTGGTTGATTGTCGGGTGTTGCCACTGTTGTTCAACTTCGGGAGCAATTTATAATCATTTACACATGACACATTGAGGTCATTTATTCTATGCCGTTGTGGTCTACTACTGTTGGCGTTGTCGTTACTTCTCAACACATTCCCATACAGATGCATTTTCACTTGTAGGTCACGTACCTGCACACACATAGATGTGTAAGTAGTATATATTTATGAATATGTGCTTCTAGGAGACAACTTGTGCAAGCGCTGATGTGCGCCGCTTCTTCCAACTTTCGCTGATAAATTATGTAACAGTTCACACTACACAAACACGCAGACACATAAAGCTCATTTACGTACTAAGGTATGTATGTATGTTTATGTTGTTGTAATTTTTTTTTATTAGTTATGAAGCACATGGCGTTATGTTGTTTATATGAATTATGTGCAAAATTGCGATGCACCAGGTTGTTAAAGGAGAAACACTCGTATTTCTTGGGCGGCAGATGAAAGAGGTCGATACCTAAGCATATGCGTGCATAAGCATATATTTACAAATATATGTGATAGAAGAAATATTATATAAATTTATTTGAAACCGCTGTTTACCAAATAAGACCGTAGACCGTAGAAGGTAACCTCACGCTATACCTAACTACATATAAATCACATTGATTAGTGATCTCAGTAAAAAACGTATGACATTATCTGGAACGGGTCTTAAGTGGCGACTGTCTTTAATTGACCTCGACTGCTCCAAACCTGCTTTTCACTTTTAAAAAATGCTTACGTAGTTTGTCGCCCCAATTGATGCTCAGCTATCGTAAAATCCGTTTATCCAACAATAGACTTAAAGTATGTTTAGGTTTTCCCTGCATTGATTTGTACCTATTGGAACTTACATACCATCTGATAAAATTTGACCCGGACTTCTAAAACAAAAACTACATTTGCAGGTATTTTAAAACTTTTTCCTGAATAGGGTTCTGAGCCAATAGAAGCATGCCAATGTTTAATCAGATTTTCCATACAGCCTCGGCTTGGATGGCTTTCAGTGCCTTCGGCAAATTTTGATGTTTTTAGGTTACAGCTCATTTTTGGAGCGCTATTCGCTAGATTGCTGGAGAGATTCGACGCCATATTAATAAACCCACTTCTTGCCACCAGTAACGATGCCTTTGATGAATATAGGGTCCTCAGCTACATTGTCAAGCATCTCTTTTGCGACGTCTACTAGACGTCGTTTTTGCAAAAGATTCAGGTTTTAACATTAAACAAAATGTGTTGAGTCGATCCATAAACGACATTGAAATTATCGACACTAACAGAGATGGATTGAAAACTCGCTTGAGGCACGTTTTCGATGACGACCTTCACTGAATGCTTTGTGTCACTACAATACTTGTGTTCGTGATAAAGTATTGTAGAATCCCCCAAACACTTACGCAATTTTTAAAACGATTCCGTAACCGTGATTTCACGGAAACACTAAGATTTAAGCAAACTCGTTGTGCAATGTTTTATGTTTATATTATGGTAAAAAATACCGGACTAACTTTTCTCGTCGTAAACCAAAACAGCTGCGAAACACACAATAATTGGCATACGGAGATCAAATTTCACACGAACATAAGATTGTACCATTAAAGGAAAAAAATTATTAAATTACACGAGTTGATTAAGGCTAAAGTATTACACAATCGGAAGCAAGAGTTATAAGATAACCAATGTGATAAAATAGGAAGTACAATTTAAATATTTGAACCGACCCAAAATAAAAACACTAAACATCTGTAACGATGGAGGGTTCACTGCCGGTATATTAAGATTGAAGGTCAAGATACATTTTTTTCTGCTAGCTTTTTCTTGGACTAACTTGACACATGTCATTATACCCACTGAGTATATGAATCAAAGATGGTTAGATTACTGCTATAGCTACGCATACCTCGTCAAACTGACATATATTTAAAGAGCCAACATTGTTCCTATGTATTTTTTGTCTTTTGCTATGTATTCTAAGTTGCTCCAGTGTTATCACCTCTAGTATAAGAAGCAAACCTTAAGCACCTGGCTGTCGTGCAAAGAGCTAAAAGTTGCAAAGGCGGAAGTTACGCCTCCTGGGAAATGAGCAGCGGAAGCAGGTGACATTGTGCAAATGGCTGCATACATATATATATAACATAAATACATTTATAGTTTGTTTCAGAACATGCTTGTGAATGTATGTGTATGTGATGTCATGTGATTTGCCGCCAGAATACAACTTTCTCTCGACATCGCCACTTTTGTTGTCGGTATTTTTGCTGTCGCCACAGTTTTTGTTATGAAAGTGTCTCTGTTGATTCATATCCTCACTTGTCTTTGCCAACAAAAACTTTTGGAATTTGTCATTACTACAGCGATGTAGCACTTAAGCTTGGTGCAACAGCATTTTGGTAATGCGCCGCCCGCACACACACCAATTACTCAGGGAGAATGCAATTCGCAGAACTTAAGCCTGCGATTTCACAGCACCAACCTGATAAATGACACTTTTATATTAACACTTTATTGCAAGACCGCAGCGAAACGCCGCTTGGAGCCACGCCAGTCAGGCACTGAGTTCCCACCTCTCCACGTTTCTATCAAACGTTACGCCGCTTCAAAAGTCTCTAGCCGCTTCGCCTTATTGTTGGTGACAAACTTTTTCACTTTTCCTTATTCCGTGCGTTGTTTTGCAAAGAAATAAAAACTTTAGTTTTAATGAAATATTTCCACCACTTGAAAGGATACTCTCAACACACTAACGGTGTTATGAGTGTTGTTAAACCGAAATATTAATGTCATATATGCTCCTTTAAGTTTCGTGGAACCAACATGTAATTGTAGAAACCTTTTCGGCATATTTTTTTTAGTTTCACTTAATACCTTACTTCAGAAATGCCAGCATTATTTCCACGATTTTTCTCATGCCAATTAGGACATCATGGTAAGGTAGTTACAGGTGCGCGTAATCTGTACGGAGGTCGTGAGTTCGATTTCACCATAGGACGAACAACAAAGAGATTTTTATAACAGACGTCGCTTTCCTCGTAGGCCAATATTAAACCTAAAAACTCGGAAACCTAAAAATTTGCTTCTTATACATACTATATATAATATTATCGTAAAAACCTTTGGAAATCAACTAAAATTGTAATATTCTCGGATAACATCAAAACCACATTTCAAATAGTAAGAAATGCGCAGGCACACAGAAAATGCCAATCATTTGTTGTTTTACATTATGGTTATTATTCATCTTGTATACGCTTTGACCACTATCAAAATGTTAGCAAATATAGGAACACGTAAGGAAGGGCTAAGTTCGGGTTTGACCGAACATTCTATACTCTCACAACTTGCAAGGAATAAAGCCGGGAAATTACTTCAGCTGTTGGCAAAATTTTATATTAAAGGAAGTATTGATCCGATTCAATCCATTTTTGACATCAAACATACTATTATCGAGAGTTTTATTTATTTATTTTATGAATGAATTTATGTATGAATTTCAATTATATATCTTACATATTGACCGATATTTTCGAAAAGGCACTGGGGTCCACATATTCAGTACCTAGGAGCTTAAACAGTTTTGGTTCGATGTAAACAATTTTTGATCACAAGGTGGCATACTTTAAGCTCATTCAGATAGAATTTAAAATGGTGTTATATGGGAAATAGGCGTTATATGGGAAACAGGCGTTATAGGCGTATTTCGCCCATTTTCGATCGATTTAAAAAATTTCTTCAGAGATTTCCTCGGACAATAATCCGACAAATTTCTTTAAAAAATATCTGGTAAAATGAAAAAGGTCTCCCTACAAGCACTTGATTCCGATCGTTCAGTTGTATGACAGCTATTTGAAATCGTCCGATATCGGTTGTTCCAAAAAATAAGCAGCTTATAGGGAAGAAAAAGACGTGTGCAAAATTTCAGATGGATATCTCAAAAACTGAGGGACTAGTTCGCGTATATGACAGACAGTCATGTCCGTGGATAAATCGGCATGCTGAGCATTTTGATATATATTTTATAGGGTCTCCGACTCCGGTTTCCTTCTCGGTGTTACAAACATCGTTCCAGTTCAGCGTATGAAGAATTTCATTAAGGTACCTCACATACTATCACCAATATTTAGGGAGAAAAGTCAACCGGATGTTTGAAAATTCTGACATTAGTTTTATGGGGGCTGGGGCAAGTTTTCGCTCGATTTTATGCATTTTAGGCACAAGTAAGGAAGGGCTAAGTTCGGATATAACCGAACATTTTATACTCTCGCAAAGTCAAATGGTATACTCGTTTGAGATTTCTTTACATATTTTATTAATTACAAGGTGTGTTCCAAAGTAAACAGGACTTTAAAAAAAAAAACAGACGGAACAAATGGTTTTATCGGCAAAATCAATTAATTTTATTCAAAGTAGTCTTCTTCTGCTTTAATACAGCTTTTCGCACGGCCAAAAGCATGTCGACCGAGTGTTTTAGCTCGTTGCCCGGTATGGCCGCCAGTATGCGGGTGCAAGCCTTTTGAATGACCTCCACGTCTGCATAACGCCATCGGCAAATGCATTTTTCCGAAAAGTCAAAAGTCGCACGGTGCCATATCAGGTTAATACGGGTAGTGGTTGATTGTTAAAATGTGATTTTTGATCAAATAATCGGCCACAAGCGTCGATCGATGAGACGGCGCATTATCATGCAACAAACGACAACTTCCTTCGCGATATTCGGGCCGAACACATCGAATACGGCGCACCAAACGCTTCACAACTCCAAGGTAGAATACCACATTAAAGTTTTGGCTGGGTGAAACAAATTCTTTGTGGACAATACCCTTCGAA